TACACTGCATTACATTACATTACATTACATTACATTACATTACATTATAACATTACATTACATTACATTACAGTACGTTACGCTTCATTGCATTACATACTTACATACATACATACATACAGACATACGTACGTACGTACGTACATGCATACATATATATATATATATTAAATCCGTGAAGCCAGCATTGCCCCTTATAGTCCCTATCAAGAAGCTACCATAACATATGCTATTCGGACTCTTATGGCTCCGACTCCTACATGATGGAACTTTGTGGAACCTTTGACGGAATCCTTGGAGGGAACCCTTAAAGGCTGACAAGGGACCCTGTGAAGAAACCCTGGCAACGAATCCTTCAAGGAGGTCTGATCAAACTCAAGACTACAATAATCCTACTTTCTGTCGAGTTCGCAGAAGGGTTCCCAACAGGCGTGTGAGAATGCAAAGCACCAAGAGAGGTACACTGGGACAGTGAGACGGTACACTGGGACAGTGAGACAAGTTCAGCAGTCATATAGGATACATTACCTTCAAGATAAATAGCGCTGCAATGAGTGAACAAAAGTGGAAAAGGCTGGCACCCACGTTTCCCAAGCAAAGATGACAATTCAATAACTTTACTAAGATCCCGAATGACCAGTAGCCCTAAAGCCCAAGTAATAGTAATATTCAGGCTTCGACATTCCTCTTAATCTAACGCTCCCTTAAGCCCTAAAGCCTAAGCAGCAATATTCAGGCTTCAACATTCCTCTAACGGTCGAACCCAAGATGCAGTTGTTGTTGCACACCAGGAGATCCCACTCCTGGTTTTTAGGGCTTAGGGCGTAACGGTTTAGGGCTTAGGGCTTAACGGTTTGGGGTTGAGGGTCTAGGGTTTAGGGCTTAGGGTTTAGGGGGCTGGGAGATGATGCAAAGGCTTTAAGTTTTTTTGTTTCACCCCTAGGTTTAGGGCTCATTTGAGGCTTTGGGCCGTAGGACTTTTGGTGGTAGGGTCTTGTGCTGAGCTTTTTTCGGGTATAGAGCGCGGTTCTCAAAAAAGCAGTTCCGAATTAGGGTCGCAATATATTTATGTAGAACAAGGCTTCATGAGTTGTGACAGGTTTTCAAGTTCTTTGCTTAATCACAAGACGGGTCTTGGCGGATATGATGCGACTCTGACCGATTAATTACCTGAGACGATCAAAACAACATCAGTGGCATGAGTGCAAGGCTTACACATCATGATCATGAGGGCAAGGGATGAGTTTCTCAGAACGTTGACTATGAGACGTAGCAAGAAAGATGCCCATGACGAGATTTGCTTCGAAGTGGCTTAGTTCGGTCAGTCGCTGGCCTCTGCCAATTTATTTTGGATTCGGCGCCCCCAGTTGGTGCGTTCCTGCTCGCCCTTGCATCTCATTCAACATTGGCTGACATGAACAGCCAAGATTGAAAGCAGTCACCTACCCAGACTCGAGCGAGTTACAAGATCAGGTACAAGTTTCTGATGCCAACCGTACAAGAAACATAATGACAACCATCATCATCATCATCATCATCATCAAAATCACCATAATCATAATAGTAATAATCGGACTACAGATCCACCCTACGCCATCAGAAACCCTTGGATAACCCTGCGGCGAAGGCTCTCCAAGGTAGTCCACCATGTAGTCGCAGAGGCGCATGGCGTACTTACCGAAGTTCGTCTCGCCCAGGAAGCGCCCTCCAGGGAGATGTTAGGGAAGATGTCGGGGGGTATCGCCTGGGCGAAAGGGTGCCACTGCTGCTGGCCGGGGCCAACCAGTGGCAATTCAACAGAAAAGAGCAACGACGGCGATGGTGAAGGATCTGATGCGGCTAGAGAATCCGATGGCAATGAATATGCCGATGTTTGCGAGTTTGTGGATGACAGGAATGGGGCTGCGCATGGTGATCATACCATTCTGGTTGTTGTGACACTGATATAGGAACTATCTGTTGATGATTGCACGCTAGTCCTCATCATCTTGATTATGATATTGGTCTCAATGGTGGATTTGGGCAATGACTTTACTAATGTGGAACCATTGTGGTGACGATGATGACCAGGATCATGACGGTGATGATGCTTATGATACTGGTCTGATGGTGGTGATGGTGGTGATGGTGGTGATGATGCTGCTGATGATGGTGTGGTCTGTCATTGACACGGCCAATACTCCAAACGACAGTCGCCCCTGTGAATAAGAGTAACATCATTATGGCGCTGGGCCACGACCATGATGATGACGACGACCTTGCAAGTCAGCACCACTTTAATCTTCCTCCGACTCCTGTTCCTCCTCCGCGTCAACATCGCCATCACCTTCATCGCCATGTTCAGCGCTTGCAGGGTACAAGAGAACCTGCGCTTGGAACGCAGACCCGGCCTTCCTTGCAGTCCAGCGCTGCCTCCTTCATGTGGAAGGCGTCGCAGACGAAGCCTCAAGGGATGCTGAAGTCAGCGGGAAGGGGGATGGAATTTGTTCCCGAATTTCACTTTTAGGCTTTTCTTGGGGTGCTGTCTACCATCAGCTAGCACACATGGGTATAGTTCTCCAAATTAGGGGGTCCCTGTGAGGGTCCTTTGTATAAGAGTGCCGTAACGTTCGTACTATTTGAGGACCTAAAAGGGACCCTAATTTTGAGACTATCCATATGGACCATCAAGGAATGTGTACGGCATCGGACATCTTCCTGGTGCCACAATATGAAGTACCCGATGCAGTGAGAACGTATCTGCCACCGCGATGCCCAAATCACACGTCGGAGTCGCCGTTGCAATCAGCCGGCTTTGCATATGGCTCCTGGATCCACAACAGCTCACACGAGCCCCCCCATCACACAAAGGACTGTGTAGATGTCTTGCAAACCTGCACGAGTATTGCTACAACACCTGAAGCTTCGACCCTGCCTGCATGAAACGAGGTTAGGGAACACAGAGCTTGGTGTTCAACCACGGGCCACAGGCATCTTATCCATAATCCAATTCCGGACGGATTAGCTAGCTGTTTGGAGGTATACTCTTGCCTGCAACCCCCTCCCTGTTATACTTGTCAGGACACGCTGACCTCGTATATTCCAAGAGGCTTCGAATCCCAAAAAAAACGCAAGCATGACCCTTGAAGACAAAGAAAAGAGGGACTTGCAGCAGAGCGTCTGCACGAAGCCGGCCAACTTGCCATGAACATCGTTGACATTTGCACCAGTTATCTCGATGAAGGACCTTGGAGAGCTTATAGGGTTTACCTTAAGAACCCGAAACCCACTTTTTTTGTAATTAGGGTCCCCTTAAAACTCATATTAGGGTTTATAATAAGAACTTAGAACAAAAGTGGGTTTGGGGTTCTTAAGGTAGGGTTTGAAATGAAAGCCCTACCGGATTTCAAAGCTTGTATATCCGCGGTCATGGGACCTAGAGCTCTTCTACCCTACAGTTCTCTGCTTGCGGAACCAAGGGCCTGCTAGGCGACTTTGGAGGCTAAGTTGTCAGACACCCCCTCACCTCCTCAGAATTAAAGGAAACTACAGGTGGGGAGTTTAGGGCACATAGGGCTTCTGTAAGGTTTCTATAAGGTATATAGACCTTCTATAAGGCTCTTATAACGGTAACTACCCACCTGTCAATGTCGTAGACAGAAGTTCGACCCAAAGCCATCCTGAGCCAGCTTATGTTCGGGGACCCCCTCACACACAGGAGTTCTTTCAACCCTGAGCCGACTGACTTTAAAGGATCGACGGTTTAGGGTTTAGGGTTTAGGGTCGAACTGTCAAGCCCGTCGGACAACTTCAAACTAGTCGAAAAAGATCTAAAACCGAACCGTAAAGTCCTGCAGCTCAAAACCCCGTGGCATAATTCCTCCCAGGCCCTAGCGGATAGAATCTGTATCCATGAGGCACCTCTCCAGAATCATTTTTCTAGCGACCTTGAAGGTAGCACCCACTAGCTACCCAGTAGGTCCCCTAGTAGCCCCTGAATAAGACGGGCACCCTTGCCCTAATAGCCGGCTTTAATCAGCGAGCCCTCTCCATGAACAAAAACAAGCAAAAGCCAAAAGGGCACCATTCAGAACCCTCAACTCTAAAACTCAACCCAAAACCCTAAACCCTGAAAGCCAACCCAAAGCCTACAAGCAAGCCAAGGAGCTCGTGGGATGCTCGTCCCATGACATCGCGTGCCGGAACGGAGCGAAACTCCACCATCAGAAGAGGGCAGCTGGACAAGCCTGGCGAAGTTTGGGAGTTCTCAAATATTCAGGGTTATTGCTTTTTTTTTGCCTATTTTTTAGTTTTTTTTGGAGGGGGGGGGGGGGGNNGGGTGTAGGGTTGGAGTTGTTGAGGGTTGAGGGCCTTATTAGGAAATTCCGGCCAGCCCAGCGAAACTTTTGGACTGTGAGGGGGTCTATACAGGCTCTGACCAGAGCTTTACATGGTAGGGCTCTCGAAGCAGAATGCTGATAAAGGCTGCTGTAGATATGAAGAGTCCTAAACCCTAAACCCTA